GAGATGGAGTTTCACCATATTGGCCATGCTTCTCTCAAACTCCTGACTTTGTGTTCTGCTCACCTTGGCCTCCTGAAGTGCTGGGATCACAGGTGTGAGCCACCATGCCCAGCCTTTCTTTAGAACAACGAATGAATCAACAAAACAAACCATTGGGGGAACCACCTATTCCTTGATTCACCTCTGTGAGTCTTTTGCTTAATGAGACATGGAAATTGAATGCATTAAAGACTTAATTTTTAGAATGTAACCTATTAGCCTTTAAATGATTTAATGTCTATAATAAGGATTCAAACACACAAACTACTTAGCTAAATTGCTAGAACACATTACAGGAAAATTATTTCCCTATGACAGGTGTTCTCAAAGGTTAGCATAACTCAGAATCACCTGGGCTTGAGAACACAGCTGGCCACTCCTCCCTGCAGAGTTTCTAATTCTGCAGATGTGGGGAGGGAGGCAGGTAATTTCATTTCCAAGTTCCCAGTACTGACTGCTCTAGGAACCATACTTTGAGAACTGCAGAGGTACAAGAAACTATACCTCTTGATGATGATCTTAGAATGCACGTTTTGGGCCAAGCATGGTGGCTAACACCTATAATCCCAGCATTTTGGGAGACATAAGTGGGAGGATCATTTGAGCTTAGGAGTTGGAGATCAGTCTGGGTAACAGAGCAAGATCCCATCTCTATTTTTATTGTATTGTATTGTATTGTATTTTTCAAGATGGAGTCTCACTCTGTTACCCAGGCTGGAGTACAGAGGTGCAATCTCGGCTCACTGCAACCTCTGCCTCCTGGGTTCAAGCAATTCTCCTGCCTCAGCCTCCTGAATAGCTGGGATTATAGGCATGCACCACCATGCCCGGCTAATTGTATTTTTACTAGAGACAGGGTTTCACCATGTTGGCCAGGCTGGTATTGAACCCCTGATCTGAGGGTGATCTGCCCGCTTCAACCTCCCAAAATGCTAGGATTACAGGCATGAGCCACGGTGCCCAGCCTCATCTCTATTTTAAAAAATGCATATTTTAAGACTGGGCATGGTGGCTCATGGCTGTAATCCCAGCACTTTGGGAGGCCAAAGTGGGTGGATCACCTGAGGTAAGGCGTTCGAGACCAGCCTGGTCAACAATGTGAAACCCTACCTCCACTAAATACAAAAAATTAGCTGGCGTGGTGGCTCATGCATATAATTCCAGCTACTTGGGAGGCTGAGGCAGGAGACTCACTTAAACCTGGGAGGTGGAGGTTGCAGTGAGTTGATATTTTGCCACTGCACTCCAGCCTGGGCAACAAGAGCGAAACTCTGTCTTAAAAAAAAAAAATTACGTTTTATACTTCTTTTGTAGAGGAAGAGAAGAGATCCCAACATTCTTCCACTCCATCTTCCCAAAACACAGGTGGAGTTGAGGAGATTGGTCTTATAGGGGTTTCTAACTACAATTGACCCTTCAATAATGTGGATTTGAACTCAGTGGATCCACTTATACCTAACATTTTTTCAACCAAAGGTCGATGGAAAATACAGTATTTGTGGGATGTGAAATCCACATATAGGAAGGACTGACTTTTCCTATACTGAGTTTCTTAGGGAAGAACTTGAGTGTGCATGAATTTTGGTATTTGTGGGGTTCTTGGAAAGAATCCCCCCATATACTGATGGATGACTAGATAGTTTCACATAAATACTAAATCTGCCACTTCACCATCTCCTTCTTTCCTGGTGTTTCCCTTGCTGGCAACCATGAAATAGTCTGGATTAGCATCCAACTCCTCCTCCTCCCGCAACTTTTTATAATGACAGTCCTCTCTTACTGATTCGTAATTGGCTGCTTTATATAAAAAGGTGATTATATCTGTATCCGAACACTTTTTCCCCACCTTGCCTTTTATCTCAAACTTTTCTTGTTTAAATTGTTTATATGTATTTTATGTTAGTGGGATCTTTCCCCATTATATTTCTTGGTGGTTATTATAAGAAAGCTATTGAATGTCTTACGTTTTAGTTCCTTCCTATCTTTTTAGGAAGTCATATAAGGGTGGGATTTGAGACCAGCCTGGCCAGCATGGTGAAACCTTGTCTGTACTAAAAATGCAAGATATTAGCCGAGCATGGTGGCACGCACCTGTGAAGAAGAGCAGCAGTCTGTTGGTATAAGATATTTGAGGTTTTTTTGTTGAATTTTTTTAGGAATTAGAAGAGTTTTTCTGTGGGGTATAGGTGGGTTTTTTTTTTTTTAAGCCGGGGGTGTTGCTGGGGGTGGGTATCACAAGGTCCAGTGTCACAAGGTTGGGTTATCAGTTAAGGCAGGGATAATTGAGGCAGGAACAATGGTAGAATGTTGCAAGGTTGGTTAATTGGGCTCTGCAGGAGCAGCCGTTTTCCTTTTTGTGGTTTTCCTGTTACTTCAGATTCTCTGGCTCCAGGAGGCCATCCAGGGGGTACGTGTGGGTCATGGAGGTCACCATGGCCTAACCATGGTACAGCCCATGGTGCAGTCAGTTTAAAAACCTTACACCAACCTCAGGTGATCCGCCTGCCTTGGCCTTCCAAAGTGCTGGGATTACAGGCGTGAGCCACCATGCCCAGCCTACTATATATACCTTAAGGATCCTTTTTGGCAGCAAAGTGATTCTCCTCTTTTCTTATGGTGATATAATACAGGATTGAAAATTTTAATTTTTATGGCAACTGAGGAGTCTTTAGTATTTAGTAATTAGTTACTAATAGTTATAAATAGTTACTAATACTAATAGTTACTAAATACTAAATTATTTGGTAATTAGTTACTAATAGTTACTAATTAGTTACTAATTACCAAATAGTAAAGTATAATTTTGTGTTCAAAAATTAAAATGAATGCCTTACTAGGGTTCATATTCAGTATCCCATTGCTGAATCTGGCTTCTTTTTATTTTTTTATTTTTTGAGACAGAGTCTCACTTTGTCACCCAGTCTGGAGTATAATGGCATGATCTTGGCTCACTACAACCTCCACCTCCCAGATTCAAGTGATTCTCCTGCCTCAACCTCCTAAGTAGCTGGGATTACAGGCACCTGCCACCACACCTAGGTAATTTTTTGTATTTTTAGTAGAGACAGGGTTTTGTCATGTTGGCCAGGCTGGTCTCAAACTCCTGACCTCGTGATCCATCTGCCTCAGCCTCCCAAAGTGTTGGGATTACAGGTGTGAGCCATGGCACCCGGCCTGAGTCTGGCTTCTTATTAAACTTGCCAATCTTTTGACATGCCTACTGACATGCACATGGATGGATCTCACTGGCACTCCACAAGGTCACTTTGTTATCAGTGTAGTGCTGAGTTGGTTTTGTTTTCAATTGCTTTTCTTGTTTTTAAATTATTAGTTATTATTAGTCTTGCAATTTAATTTGTTATAGCCTATTTGGCTAACACTAACCCTAGACTGCAGAGGTGTATGTTTGGCTCAGCAATATTTGGGTCTATAATGTTTCCATGTAAGGTATCTATCACTAAAGGTAAAGCATATATTTTCCTAAAACTTGCTTGTACGGTGTCGCTTCATTGGTGATGTGTGATGCCTGTATCTGCCATTTGAATAACTTGTGTCATGCTCTCAGAGTAAGAGTAACACTATTTCTGTATTAATGATTTATGCTTAGGTCTATTGTGTATCTGGCCAGGACTAGGGTCAAGTGACGAGGCGTAAACTCTCAGGGTCTTGTGAGTGCTGATCCTGAATGTGAACACCTTCTTGAGTTTTAAACCCCAGGTGTTTCACATGTCTCATCCTAATCTTGACCTTGTGGTCCATTATAAAATCCTATACATAAGGCCATAAAAAAAGTAAGTCATTCAAGGCTGGGCACGGTGGCTCACGCCTGTAATCCCAGCACTTTGGGAGGCTGAGGTGGGTGGATCACCTGAGGCCAGGAGTTCGAGACCAGTCTAGCCAACATGGTGAAACCCCATCTCTACTAAAAATACAAAAAAAAATTAGCCAAGTGTGGTGGCACGCATGTGTAGTCCCAGCTATTCCAGAGGCTGAGGCAGGAGAATCACTTGAACCTGGGAGGCAGGGGTTTCAGTGAGCTGAGATGACACCACTGCACTCCAGCCTGGGCAATAGAGTGAGACCATCTCAAAAAAAAAAAAAAAAAAAAAAGTCATTCGTAAATGTTGTTAACATGAGTTTCAGAATCCATTTCTCAAATTCTTTGTTGAAGAATTTGGGAATAAGAAGTAAAGTTGGGCCGAGTCTAATCACATTGTTCCTTAAAAACAGAGAACCTTTCCTGCCGTGGTCTGAAGGAGATGGGATGAGGGAAGAATGGTTAGAGAGATGTAATGTTGTTAGGTTTGAAGATGGAGAAAGGCGACCAGGAGCCAAAGAATGCGGGCAGTGTCTAGAAGCTAGAAAAGATGAGGAAACATGCTCCCTAGACCCTCCAGTTAGGACTGCAGCCCTGCCAATGCCTTGAATTTAGTCCAGTGAGACCCACGTCAGACTTCTGACCCATAGAAGATCATAAATTTGTGTTAAAACAGCCACTGAGGCCAAGTGCTGTGGCTCATGCCTGTAATCCCAGCACTTTGAGAGGCCAAGGCAGACAGATCACCTGAGGTCAGGAGTTCAAGACCAGCCTGGCCGATGTGGTGAAACCCCGTCTCTACTAAAAAAAATACAAAAATTAGCTGAGTGTGGTGGTGTGCACCTGTAATCCCAGCTACTCTGGAGGCTGAGGCAGGAGAATGGCTTGAACCCTCACAGGTAGAAGTTGTAGTGAGCCTAGATCGCACCCTTGCACACCAGCCTGGGTGACAAGAGTGAGACTCTGTCTCACAAGCAAGCAAGCAAACAAACAAGAAAACTCAACCACTGAGTTTTTGTCCATCTGTTAAAACAGCCATATGAAACTAACACACCTCCTGAGATAAATGAACATTTTAAGTATTGGTTTTTGGTTTCTATATATACGGTAGCTTGGCGGGCTGGAGCGTGGGGATCTGGCTTTACTATTTGAGGTGTGAATAGCAGTTCCAGAATCCCCACTTGTTCTAATGAGCAGAACAAGCTGCTTTCAGGTGGAAAGACCCCAGGGCCTCCCTTGGTGCTGCAGTGCCCGCCATGGCGGGCTTGAAGTGCTTGAAGCAGGAAAGTAATCTTATCAAATTCTGATGCTACAGTCGTTGCCACCAAAGCTGATAACTGGATATTGTTGCTGAAACTCAAGGCCATGTGGAAAGGTGTGTCTATTCTGGTGGGAGCCAGAGTTCGCTGCTGCTTTCCGAAGCCCATAATCTCTATCTGAATGAAAGAGGGTCTATCACATAAATTTAAAAACCGTTTTCAAGAGCTAAACAAAAAATTAAATCTTCTGATTGAAAGTGCCCCCCTTTTTTGTTGTTTTTTTTTAACTTGATGTGGAGTCTTACTATGTTGCCCAGGCTGGTCTTGAACTTCTGGGCTCAAACTATCCTCCCACCTCAGCCTCCTGAGCAGCTGGTATTATAGGCATGTAACACTGAGACTGGCTTTGAAAGTACCCATTGAGTGCCAGTTAATTTTTTTTTTTTATTTTGAGACAGAGTTTCGCTCTTGTTACCCAGGCTGGAGTGCAATGGCGCAATCTCGGCTCACTGCAACCTCTGCCTCCTGGGTTCAGGCAATTCTCCTACCTCAGCCTCCTGAGTAGCTGGGACTACAGGCACGCACCATCATGCCCAGCTAATTTTTTGTATTTTTAGTAGAGGCGCGTTTTCACCATGTTGACCAGGACGGTCTCGACCTCTTGACCTCGTGATCCACCTGCCTCGGCCTCCCAAAGTGCTGGGATTACAGGCGTGAGCCACCGCGCCGCGCGCCAATTAATTTTTAAAAGAAATCCACACATTAGATATTTTCTGATAAAATTTCAAGTCCTCAAAGTCAAAGAAAAAAATCCTAAAAAGTTATATAAAGCATAGATTATCTAGCAAAGGAAAAGATCTAATTAGTAACAGAGTCTTCATTAGTGATGTTTGATACTAAAAGTGATCAAAGTTCCAAGGGAGATTATCTTAAATTCAGAATTACGTACCAAGAAGCCTATCATTCAAGAGTGAACACAAATGTAAGAACTTTCAGAATATTTATTAATAATTACCCAAGGATGTAGTCTAAGTGTATAAAATATTAATTTAAGAAAGAGATAAATGGAATGTAAAAAAAAATAGCAAGAAGAGAAATAAGTTAAACTCATAGTTAAGCATAAGTAGTTGTTGATAACATTACTTTGATGCTGATGGTAATTGTGAAGAAATTGCCTAAGCATTGCCTAAAAAGTAGAGGCAAAGATTAGATAAATCTGGTGTATTCTCTCTTACTGCCCTAATTCTACTTTTGACAGAAAAGGTCTTTCTTTTCAAATTCTTAAAACTTTTTTCTTTTTCTGGCCTTATCAAGCTGGCTACAGTTTCCTTTAAAATGTTGAATATGAAAGTGGTAATGTCATCCTTATTACTTTCTTTAAATAAAATACTTCTGAGAGTTCATCTTTAAGAATAACATGTTTGCAACCAGGCGTGGTGGCTCATGCCTGTAATCCCAGCACTTTGGGAGGCCGAGGTTGGTGGATCACGAGGTCAGGAGTTCGAGACCAGTCTGGCCAACATAGTGAAACCCCACCTCTACTAAAAATACAAAACATTTGCCAGGTGTGGTGGTGTACGCCTGTAATCCCAGCTACTTGGAAGGCTGAGGCAGAAGAATCATGTAAACCCAGGAGGCAGAGGTTGCAGTGAGCCAAGATTGCACCATTGCACTCCAACCCAGTCAAGAGTGCAAGACTTGGCTCAAAAAGAGAGAGAAAAAAAAGATAACATGTTTGCAGTGGATTTTTGTTAGGTGGTTATACATCCAGCTTATCCGTGAGTTTCTTCATTTAGCCTCTTCTCCTTTGCTTCTTTGGAACCAAACCAGGTCCATAGACATTCTTTCTGCCAGTTCAGGCATTTTGATTGCATTGGTGTAAAAAGAAGCCAGGACTTGTGCTTTTGTTGATCTAACAGTGTCCTCTCACCTTGGAGAAATCGACTCTGCTGGCTCATTCTGAGATTTGTGGAAATCAATATCCCCTGCCTGCTTCTTCCCACATGCAATACTGTTTGAACTTTGCTGCTCTGGAAACTCCTTCACATACTTTGTGGTTTTCAGCTTCTATTTCTTCTAGTTTCAATGAAGTTAGAGTTGCTAGTTCTCATTCTCTTTATGGCTTTTTGATATTATTCACTGAAGGGGATTACTGACCTTTTTTTTGACATCTTCCAGTAAAAATCACAGCTGAATTCTTATCAGAAATTTACAAGCTAATCCTAGTTAATTGGCAAGTGCAAGGACCAAAAATAGCCAAGAACATTTTGAGCACAATAACTGAAATGATGCCATTGCTGTTAGAAAAAAAAATAGATAAATGGAAAATAATAGCTTAGAAACTGACCCAAGGAGCTTAGACTGAGAAGCAAATAGCACTAAAAATCAGGAATATTCAATAAATGGTGCTGGAAACATTATCCAAATGGATAAAGATACATTAGATGCATTGCTTATGCCCCCCCCAAATAATTTTCAGATCTATCAAAATGGTAAATCAAAAACAGAAAAACCATTAATAGAAAATATGAGAGAATAATCTTATATTTCAGGTTGCAGGGTAGGGCAGGCTTTCTTAGAGAAGGCTTAAAATGCATAGACCATTATAGTACCAGGATGGCTGCAGTAAGATAAGGGAGGAGGTGCAAACTGGGTGTGGTAGCTCATGCCTGTAATCCCAGCACTTTGGAAGGCCAAGGCAGGGAGATTGCTTGAGGCCAGGAGTTCAAGACCAGCTTGAGCTACAGAGGGAGACCCTGTCTTTACAAAAAATAAAAATAAAGTTAGCCAGGTGTGGTGGCACACACCTGTGGTCCCAGCTACTTGGGAGGCTAAGGCAGGAGAATTGCTTGAGCTCAGGAGGTTGAGGCTGCAGTGAGCTGTGATTGCACCATTGCACTCCAGCCTGAGCGACAGAGTGAGAGGCTGTCCACCCTACTGCCCTGCAAAAAAAAAAAAAAAAAAAAAACCAAAGAAAAAGAAAAAAGAAAGAAAGAAAAGGAAAAGGTGAGAGGCCCAAGGTAAGGAGGGATGGAGAGAAGAGTTGGGCAGATCCTGTGGCAAACTGCAGGCTTTAATGAGTTAAAGACTTTTTGGCAAAGTGGCGAAAGTACTTGAAGCAGGAAAGTAATCTTGTCAAATTTGTGATTTTTTTTTTTTCTTTTTTAGGCAGATTCTTGCTATGTTGCTTAGGCTGGAGTGCAATGGTGCGATCTTGGCTTACTGCAACCTCTGCCTCCTGGGTTCAAGCAATTCTCTGCCTCAGCCTCCTGAATAGCTGGGATTACAGGCGACCATCACCATGCCTGGCTCATTTTTGTATTTTTAATAGAGACAGGATTTCACCATCTTGGCTAGGCTGGTCTTGAGCTCCTGACCTCGTGATCCACCTGCCTTGGCCTCCCAAAGTGCTTGGATTTAGGCATGAGCCACTGCACCTGGCCAAATTTGTGTTTTTAAATATTAGACTGGCTGCAATGGGTTGCAAGGGGATGGGGAGATATTAGGAGACAATTCAGGAAGCGGTTGCAACAGAGCAAATGATGAGGATGGCATGGATTGGAATGATTGCAGAGTGAATGGTAAGAATAGCATGTTACAAGATAAAGACAGGATATAGACTCAGCAGAACCTGGTGCTTGTTTGGATTTGTGGACTGAGGGAGGAGTTGGGGTCATCTTGGGATATGTTGATTTTAAGGATCCAGTGAGACACCCAAGAGGAGAGGTCGAGAAACCAGTTGAACTTGTGTGTTTGGAACTTTAAAAATGTGTTTGAGCTCCAGGTTTAAATTTGGAATTATTGTGTATAGATGGTAATTAAGGTTATAAGGGTGACGAGAACACTTAGAACAGGGCATACACCCTGACCCTTGGGCTGGCTATAAGTTTCTGTATAGCCCACAAGCTAAGAATTGTCTTTATATGTTTGAATGGTTAGGGGAAAAAAAATCAAAAGAATAATAATATTTTCTGACGTGTTAATTAATGAAATTCAAATTTTTTGTCTGTCAATCAAGTTTTATTGGAACATGACCATACCCATTCATTTGGCAGCTTTCAAGCTGCATGGCTATGATAGAGACCTAGAGATAGTGTAGTCTGTGGAGACTAAAATATTTGTTGTGTGGCCCTTTTGCAGACACTCTGCTGACCCTTGACTTAGACAAAGACCATATCATGCTAACTGAATAGAGCTTTAGGCCACTTTCTGATAAGTGTCCACATCAGTGGTTTATTAAAGGATAATGAACTGACAAAAGAAGCTAAGAAGTTGCCAGAGAATTAGGAGAACCAGGCGTGGCTCAAGGGTGACCAGTTGATTTATTGACACAGAGGTCATTAATGTCCTTTGGAGGTTATTTGAAAGAAGAGGTCAATGGAGGAAGAGTGACAGAATGGAGATGAGCTAGGTTGAGGAGAAAGGCATATACGAGGAACAGGAGGAATTGGAGATGGCAGCTGTTGACAGCTCCTTCTAGAACTGTGGCTGGATGAGAGGAGATGAAGCGTCTTAGGGAATATAAAGGCCTAAGGCAGACTAATTTGTCTTTTGTTTTTATTGAGATGGAAGAGACCTGAATATGTCTAAAGGCAAAAAGAAAGAAGCCCTTAGAACAGAATAGAATGAAGATTTAGAGAGAAAGGATCATCATTTGTACAAGTTTCCTGAGATAGAATTTTCATTGAACATGGGTAGGTTTTGCTTATTTCAAGGTGGGCATAAATAGACCCTTTCTCACCAGGCGCAGTAGCTCATGCCCGTAATTCCAGCACTTGGGAGGCTGATGCAGGGCAGGAGTTCGAGACCAGCCTGGCCAACATGGTGAAACCCAGTCTCTACTAAAAATACAAAATTAGCTTGGTGTGGTAGTGGATGCCTGTAGTCACAGCTACTTGGGAGACTGAGACATGAGAATCGCTTGAACCCAGAAGGCAGAGGTTGCAGTGAGCCAAGATTGTGTGATTGCACTCCACCCTGTGGATCAGAGCAAGACTCTTTGTCTCAAAAAAAAAAAAAGAAATTCTTTCAGCATACAAATTTTTTTAAATCAATCTCCACATCACCCTTGTTTCTAATGGTTCAACCTTTCAGATTTCTTTTTGTCATTTCCTTAATGAGGCCTAATTGTCTCACCTATCCCCACCAATCTAAATTAGACATCAATTGTCTGAATAAATGAGAGATGCAGAG